TCCAAAGTGAGTGTACGTTTTAGAGTCAAGCAAACAGTAGCAACATCCCATAACACTTACTTTCTGTGGCCAATTGAGTATTTGGACTTTCTACCCCCTGTTGCTCCTGAAACCTGGACTTGAAATGTATATGTCTGTAGGTTTCTTACCCTTTGTGAGCTCAATTATCATTGTCAGTGAAACCTTTTAGGGGGTTTGAAATCTTTAAGACAGCAGGGGAGCTGAAATATGTAATTTCATCTACTCTTTCAACAGGTGCCTCTGCAAATGTAATAGCCTGCCAAACATACAGTGAAATATTCTTGAACTCTGGCTTCAGTCAGGTATTTGGGCCTTCAGAGAAACAATATATCCCTCAACAGATGGTTGTAACAAGAGGAACACCTTACAGAAATATACCTGATACACTGCTGGGGATTCCTGTTCTCCTCTACTGCAACTCGGATTGTAAATCATATTTAATGTCACTAGACACGAGGAATGTACAGTGTAGTGTAAGTGTGTAATTGCTGTAATAGAACGAAGGGTTTGACCTTAAACTGTCGCAGCAGAGCACGCGACTGGAATGTTTTCACCCAGAATAGGGCCCATACGCAGAGGAGCCCTCAGTATATAGAATATGTATTCACTCCAAACACAAACTCTCTCTCTATTTATATCAAAAGCCTGCTGTTTGCACTTTTCATTTGTAACCGGCTCCACTTTTTGGAGTCTGGCTTCTTATCACAAAATTTTAATACCAGTCATCAACTGTGATTAACTCCCAAAATGGTTTGATCAAGAAAGCAGCACACGAGAACAGACTTACCATCACTTCACCCCTTGTAGAAATTCCATTAAAAGGGCAAATATTCAGGAAGTGTATGCACTGATACGACAAGGACCCCCAAAAAACAAACCTCATGTTGTAATCGTTTCATTTGTCCCAAAACAAGATGAAAATTACAGTACTTTACTCTGCCTCGTGAAACTGCCAGAGTAAATGTTGCATTGGACTGGACATGTTTTTGAGGGCGTGGCGGCGGTTGTAATTCAGCTGACGGGCCAGAGAGAGGCAGTTAAGTTGTTAATCTCAGCGTCAGGATCTGTCTGGCATCGCGTCCCGGGCTTTTCAGCAGTATAGTGGAAACGACAGCCAGCTTGAAAACACAAGCTGAGCAGTACAGTGAGTTCTATTGTTTTTGTTTTTAGTTTAGCTCTTTAGCTCGAGCTCAAATGCTGGCACCGGTGCTGGAGATCAGAAACAGAGGACTGAAATCCACATTGGTCAACCTTTATACTCTTTCCCAAAGAGCTGTAGTGGAGCTTCTTGAGTGTTTATGATGCATAAATCAGTGGATTTGCTGTTTCTGCAGCTCGTTTTTATGTCCAGGTTTGAAGTTTATTGAGTTACTGGAGACAATAAGAGGTTGGGGACAATCCATTGAGGCTCGAAGGGGAGTTTGTCTGGCTTAATCTACGAAGAAGGTCATTTGCTTTTATACTTTTGTAGTGCCACCGTGCAAATATTGAAGCAACATTTTAGAAATGAAACAATGGGGTGGCATCAAATATTGATTTTCCATACTGAGAAGGAACACAGAGAATGTATGAGCTCTAGCTGCAGCATGAATGGCCTTGTAGGAAATTCAATTGTTATGTTTAATTGGCAATCTCAGAAAATGATCTGTTGGGGAAGCATTATTATAATAACTTTTATACTGTAACATGCTTATTATTCTATGCAGATGTGCTGCCATGGAATGTTTTCTTTATTTTTATTTTGCTCTTAATTTCAGTTGATGGCCCTGTTTTTCACCACATTTATAGAAAAAAAGAGGTATTTTTATGAACTTCCTCTTTCTGATTCTGAATCAAAGGTTACATTTTTGACATATGTTGAGATTTAAAACACACTCAAAGCATTGGCAAAGAATTTCCCTAACTCGTGTCCTACAAAACGATCCAATTTTGCATTAATGTGGCATACTGTAAGTTTCCAACTTTCATTGACGTGCGCACAGTAACAAGAACAACAACAACGCTCCACCAGTGCTCTAAGCCCAGGCTAAACAAGAACAGATGTGAACGAGGAACATGGTCTCTGTTTTCCCCTGTGCCTTGGTTGCTCGTGGCATCACGCTTCCTCCGATTGGCCCCGACAAATTGATCTCAGACAGAGCTATTTGAAAACTATTGTGGAGTGCATTTCGTTCCTCAAGGCAGTTCTTCTTTGTTGTGACCCAGTTATTGTGGACTGGACTGCCTGATGCATTCAGTCTCCATGTGGATGCTGAAGTACGCAGCTCGGGTAGAAAGTGGAAGGATGAAACTACGAGAGTGTAATGTATAGAGCACAGAGTGAGTATGGTGTTGTCGTAGCCACAGACCTGCCTTGTTCGTCACACCCCATTTTGGAAAAAATTGCCAACAAGCTGATGATTTCACTGCTCCTATCAGTTTACCAGCAGTGAGGTTAAAATGTAAAGATTGTCAAGATGTTGGTATAGGCGGAAAAGTTTCCAAAATCATCTGTAGAGCATAAATATTCTCGTGAATCCCCCCCCCCCCCCCCAATACTTTTTGATATTTCTCATACGTATGTGGAATTTTAGGCCTGATGGTGCCTCTAAGGTTAAAGGGTCACTATAAATATAAGGTTTCATCTTCCGAGAAGCATAAGTATTCATGGAAAATGTAATGGAAATCTATTCTATTTATAATTATATATCATGGAGGTACTAACTGAAGCTGTGTAGCTTATCACTATTTCTAATTAATGTAGCCGCTACATCAGTTAAAAAAAGTGCTAATCGTGGATAGAATTGATGCAGCTGTTGACTTAAGTCAACATCAACACATAGCATTTATTAAATTGACCTATTTCTGTGCATACAACTGTACAACAACTATTCCTAGCAACCACTACTGCAGCTTCCGTGTCAACTGAAGATGGCATTGGTGGAATGGATACGTCATTCAGTAATGAGTGGTTAGGGAAAAACAAAATCAAATAAACCCCCCTCCTAACCACAAATCAGCTAACTCTAAACACAGTGTCAGGCTGAATAAATGACCTGAAAGTGAATGATAATTAAGTGTGATTATAAGGCCACTTCAGGGGACCGTGAGTATCCACAAGCTTCTTGACAATTAAGATAGTAGTTGTTGAGTGTGGGACGGTCAAGCCAGCTGGCTGATATTGCCATCTAACACGGTGGAGGAGCAAGAATATAAACACGTCTAATGTTTGCATCACAGTGTTTGCACATCAGTGTATGGGAGTCAAACTTCCGATTGCGGTCAGAATTAAAACTGTGGGTTTCAATATGCGCTATTTATGTAGCCTTAAAGTAGAGCTGTACTGTTATCATTTTTAAAGTGATTCTAAAGTGACTCAATTTGTCTTTGTGTCCACGCACAGGAGCAAGAGGACCCCAACAAGCTGGCCACCAGCTGGCCCGACTACTACATTGACCGTATCAACTCCATGGCTGCTGTAAGTCACACAAACACAATGTCTATTCTGATTTCTGTTCCCTAGATGAATGAATATTTCTTGCCAACTTTAATTTTACTTTTACAGTGTAATTCACGAACTTCGAGCATTTGACCGCCACTGCTAGGTCACTGTTCACTCAGTTATTCTTTCTCAGACTTCTCTCTTGGCTCGCTTTTTATCGCCTCCCTGCTGACTGCTTGTTATATTCGCATGACCACATTCCTTCTCCCTGACCCCAGTATTCACACACACTGTGATGACAAACAGGACATTTAGGCACTCAGTAGTTCAGTCACTGGGAATGGCTGTCAAAGACGCAGGAGCAAAGCCAGGATGACAATATTCATTATTTCTAAGCAGCATGGCTGCCAATAAAAACAGCACGATACCATCACAGAACTTTCGTCTACGTCCCATCTCATATCAGTTTAAACACCACTGCTGTTATGTAAGTTGCATTATTTTATTGTACATTCGGTCACTGACCAATCTGTGCCAATGACCTCTGACTCCGAGTACTTATGTGGACGACAAGTTGGCTCCCAAATGTTTGGAGATCATAAAACATGACATTTTAAGAGGGGGTCTTTAAGGGTAACATGTAAGCATGAAATTTAGAGACTAGCAAGTCCTTGGTGAAGACAGTCTTACAATTCCAGTGAGAGACTTCTCAACATTCCACAAGGTTGATTTTTTTTCACCATCTAACCAAAGAGACCAACACTTAATACGTTTACAAGTCTTTCCAGGCTGCGGATCAGATAAACTGTTCAACCATAACTTACGCAGGCCACCATGAACACAGAGCCAAAACATAATGGCATTTAATATGTTTATTGCCATGTTGTTTGTTTCTCTGGCATACATGCCTGTAGCAACAACCCGCGCTATTTTTACAGCTGTATTTGTTTACTGGCTCCACTCGAGGGAAGAGAATGAGCTACTTCTGGAAGTTGCACCGGTACCTGAGCTCAGCGCTGAAGTCTGGAGAAATAATTGTACTGTCATTCTCTTAAAGGCTCAGGCAGAACACACCCACACACATACACTGTGTTTACAGTATTGTCAAGAGAAAGTGCTAATTTGTGAGTTAAGATGAGTCTTTATTGATCCCCAAAATATATGGGAAGATATAGAAATCAGTCCAGTGTGCCAGTAACATTGATGCATTGAATACTAGTTTGTATCTTTTAACAGATAAAACACTAAATAAACCACAAACAATAAAGCAAACAGACAAAAAACATTAGTAACAGTAATTGAAACAACAATGGCTGTAAAGGACTATTCCAAACAACAAGTGGGGAATAAGGTGTGCCTGGTAGAAGATCTGCAAGGTACCTGTGAGAATCCACCCTCTCCACTTCCTCTCCCTGGATGATACTCAGGGACAGGGAGCCTCCCGTTCCTCTGGTAGTCCACCTCCAGCTCTCGGGTCTTGCTGATATAGAGCTTCAGGTGACTGTAGTTGCACCTTGTGAAACAGCTCTCTCAGTTCTCTGTACTCCTCCATGTTGTCTTTATTGATGCATCCAACAATGGAGTTGCCAAGAATTTAAAACCCGTCAGGGTTGTAGCTGTTCCTCTGTGTCAGACATGCTGTCAGAGTTGTTTCAGTCTTTCTTTCTTTTTTTTTTTTTTTTACTATATCTACTGAAAAAGTTAGTCATTTGTATACAGTCTGCAGTGTATAGAGTCTTTAAAGTTAGGGGGGGGGGGAGTTTAATTTGACAAATTAAAACAAATGTATTTATATTGTGAGCAAATCAAATTATATTGCATCAATGGAAGAATTGATTTTGCATACATACAAAGAAGATAAAAAATGATGACTATAACAGATTTAAATAACTCGTTGAGAAAGATGTTTCTGCTGTCTCCATTCCCCTTTTTGCACAAGCAGCCTCTTGTTCAAGCTCCACAAGTCTCTCTTATTCACCATAACTTGACCAATTTCCTCCCCTTCCTGAATCATTTTTCATTCCCACTATCAGTCTTCCATTTTCTCCACCACCGTGCCCCAGACAGCATCTTGACAAGAGCACATTTTAAAATTTGGAGGTGCTCTCCCTGTACATGACTTCATGTCTTGGCTGCCGGGTGAGCTCACCAGGGGCAGCCCTTCCACAGTAGCTGAGTTATTGGATGAGCTCATATTCGCTCTGCCGCCCGGAGAGATTATTGTAGGCTACAACCAGCATCTTGATGTTCATTCATAAAACCGCGTGAGAGCCCTGAGGTTGTTCATTGGCTACAGAGTGATAATTCAAACGTCCTTGTGACTCTGACGAGACTTTCTCTAGCCTCGCTGTGTCCAAGTTAGATTTAGAGCCCCTTCCTGGACAGGGTTCTCTCTGCAGATAGACAAAAAAAGAAGTTTAAAGACGAAGGCCAGTAGAAGGGCTTTTAATTTGCAAAGATGTGAAGAAACATGCAGACCTCAGCTATTGCAGTTTTGCAGACCACAAAATAGGTTCATAACACATTTGAGTCCCTATTACAGTTAGTGTTGTTGCTGTAAATTGATTTATTTTTATTTCAATGCAGCAGCTTTAGCGAAGCCTGGTTTAAATGATGTATATTTGTTAGTACATTTTAAATTGCACCTATTAGAACACGTTTTCAGCTTGTCATTAGAAACACAGCTCCAAATGAGTGAGCTGTGTTAAAATAAAATTGCAGCCTTTATCAGTACTTCAGTCAAACTTTAGCAAAGTAAAGCTTCTGTATTTGAAAGTTATCGCCAGCTTACAAGCTACATTGCCTAGCTGTGACGTTAAAAAGACATGATGGCACTTACTGTACAACTGTAACTTACATCTTTAGACTTGCTAGTTTTGATAATGCTATATAACTAAGAAAAAGAATGTTGCAATGTTTTGGAATGACTAGCTTTCATTGGTGGTAGTTGGCATTTCAGTTGAAGAAAGCTGTTATTTCCACTTGTTTCCAGTCACCATACTCCAATCTATTTCAGTTGTTAGTCTTAGCCACATAGGAACAACAGGATAATCGCTGTGTTTCAGCTAGCATTTTGTTAGCTTAATTAGGTTTTGTGATTCTGACTTCACATGATTACTTTAGTTAAAATAATTATGTTTGCCTTCATTTTTATTGGACAAATGCTTTTGTACTTGGCGCATCAGTGACCCACATGGTCCAAATTAAGGTTTGATGAGCTGCACTCATCACTCACTCAGTTAACGACGCACTGCCGACTAGCTTAAAGGCATAGTTCTGGCTCTGGGGGGCACTTCCCATAATAGGGATTTAGGGAAGTACCTTCTGCTGGTTTACCAACTGGCTATAATAGTATCCTTATGTGAATGTTGGCCACAGGTACAAATGAGCTTACAAATAGCAGATGTAGGAAGGAGCCATTTGGCTAGACTCGTTGACACGGTGAACTGGCTCGCAGCACGACCAAATCATTCACTCTCCCCAACACTTGTTGTGTCCAACTTCCCATTGACTATGAACATATTCGTTTAGAGAAACAGGAGCCAGAGCCTTTACTTCTTGGCACGGGGGTCCGTGAACCATCTGGACTTGAGGCTAAGTCGTCGCGATGGATGTTTTGACTGCACTGTTTCTAGATTAAACACTCTCACACACCGGACAGACCAGAGCTGTTGTTAGGTAGTCAAACATGGGGTCAGGCTTCAGCTAGCTAGTGCTGTTGGTCCAAAAAGTACTGTCTGGCTGTGGAATATTTGAACCAAAATATGCCTTTGTAAGGGTTTAAGGATTGGAAAACAGGGTCACATTTAAGCTAATATTTTTTCAGGTAAACTAATGGGCAGTCACTGTGACTAGCTTACTCCACTGCTGAACCTTAGCACTTGGCAGTGAGCTGCCATGGAAAAAGCCTGGAGAGGCTAAACAGAAGCCCTGTGGCCCTGACTAATGGGAGCACAGCAGCTCTTTGATGTTGCTGAGGAGAGGCTTTAAGTGATGCAGAAATGCATTAACACCACTGTCGGCCTAAGTGTTTTGTTTTTTTTAATCATTTATTGTAAGCTTGATTGGGGCTAATCGCCCGCATGACTTATTTTGGCATGTCGTATAGCTTCAAACAGTTCTTTAAAAGGAAAATGTCATCGGAAGGGGGGGGAATACACATGATCTGTTTGGATTGTGGTGCCTGAAACAGTAGCCTACTAATGAGGCTCTGATTGTCTGTGATGCTAGTACTAACTGAAACAAGCACATTTGCTTGTAAAGAGGAGGAAATATGTACTGTTGCTGTTTAATTGCTGCCAAATTAAGATTAAGAAACAATGAAAGACTCTTAATTTAAAGTGGAAAAATACAGAATTCTTGCCAACAGGTAGCTTGCCAAATTGTGCCTTCTATTGAGCCAAATTTCAGCGATAGCCTATTAATCAGCTGTCTTTCCTCTAAATTCCGTTTTCACTTTCATTTCTCACCTTTCCTGCAGATGCAGACCCTGTTTGCCTTTGATGAGGAGGAAATGGAAATGAGGAACAAGGTGGTGGAAGATCTGAAGACAGCGCTTCGGACTCAGCCAATGAGGTAAGTGAATCTCTCCGTCCAACTAGAAGCTTTCCTCTGCTGCAGACAGCGCAGAGCTCTGCATTGCTCGCTTCACCTTCACAACGTGCATTCCTGCTATCTGACTTGTTGAAGTAATGCCAACTACATTAAAGTTTATAATATAACATGCTACAGAAAAGATCTACTTTCAGTGAAGTCTGTCTCTTGTCACGGCTGGAGCAGGTTTAATTAATTCCAATTGGAAGTCGCCCAATTAATGTTATTTTAAGATCTACACTCCTATTTTTGTCTTCCCTGGACATGGTCATCAGCAGCTGTTAGGCCTCACTCATCACCACAATGAAACATGCAACAGACATTGAACAGCCGACTAATACAAACCGCCTCCGTCTCCCCGTCAGCAGCCCCTTTAAAGCTGTCCATCATCCTGTGCCAGTCGTATGATGCAGTGATCTGGACCAAAGCGGGGGTGTTGAGTTTTCTCAAGGGGAGCTATGAAGTGACAGACCTAATGTGCAGAGTGACAGAAACCCAGGGCAGCCTTATTGTCTGGGTCACGTCTGGGTTGTGTGTGTGTGTGTGTGTGTGTGTGTGTGTTTGTAGGCCAAGTGTGTGTGCATGGTTGTGTTTGTGTCTGCGTATGTATGGGTGTCCAAACCACTGTAACTGGGAGTAAGGCTGGTAATCAGCTCCCAGAGTCCAGACACATTGCAGGAAGTTGTTTGGCCAAAATAAAAGTCTGTGGAACTATTTCAGCTTCTGTCCCTTAAATATGTGTATATATGCGTAGTATGTGAAATTGAGTCTAAACATCTTTACCTAAGAACGAAGTGTATAACATTTAAGTAAATGGCGTAAATATATGGATGATTGAAAAAACAAAACAAAAACGAATGTATGCACTCACTTACATACTTAACTGTGTGATTTTGAGGTGCTATAAGAATTTAATGATAAAGTTCTCAAGGAAACCTTTTTGAAATCAATAGATTTCTTAGAACTCATAGAACTCTGAATGAAGGATTTAAGCTTTTATTACCCTCTTGAGTTATATTTAAACGAGGGAGAAAAATTGGGGATACACTCATTAAATGTGATTTATCATCTAAATCTGCTCTGATGCTATTCCAGATGGTGAATACAAATGTGACGTGTGCACCCAGTGTACATTAACTGCGCTATGAAAACGGACTATTTCAGGCTTTCATTGTCGGGAAAGAAAAATCCAGTTAGTGGAATACTGTCTTGTAACGGCGTATTACAACACACTCACAATATTCCTTTATTGGTAACCCTGGTGAAGCTGAAACTACACTGAATAATTACATAACACAGGAGCAGCAGTTTTCCTTATTTAAGGTGACAGTTTTCTGCACAATGCTTATTTTGGTGTGAATCTGTAAATGTTGTGTTTCAAGATACGCGATCAAAAAATAGGGATAAAAAGCAGCCTTTTCTCAGGACTGAGGCAGAGTTATGAATACTTCCTCATCCAGGTGCAAATTGTCGCATAAAGTTCAAACTGTAAATATGATCATGATCATAAAATAGTTTTTCGACAGCATGTGGAAATGGAGAATATCTACCCGAGCCCAGTCTCAGATACTTCACGTTGATATTGATATTTTCATTTTTGCACTATTTTGATAGTCTGCAGTTTTGTTGCCACTTTGTTTGTCTCTTACTCATTAACTCCTTGTATTGTATTCAATTGTAGTTAATTTACCTCATCAAAAGTGGCTGTAATGAGTCAATCAGCACTATTCAGTAATGCACCTGCACCCATTCTGTTCAGAGTGAGTTATTGCTCATTAGCACGCAGATGTTTTTAAGCACTGTAGCAGTGATGTGGGTAGCAGGTGTGTCCCACAGAATATGGGTGTTCAGGGAAAGCCCGGGCGGTGTGTTAATGTCCCGCCAAGTCTCGCATTTGTGACAAATCGGTGGTTAGAGCAAAAAACTAGAGCACAAAACATGACTTTGTGCTTTAGTGCTTAGGGGACTGTGTGGTTCAATGTGGCCATTAGGTTCACCTAAATTATGTGTCACCTCTGTGTCCCTCTGTGTGGGGGTGTACTGTATGCCTTTATGGCAGCATTCTGGGAGACATGGTGGTGTCTGCCTGTATTCATCTTTGATTCATGCCTGCCTTTGGATGACCGCCTGAAATGGCCTCCCCCCCCCCCTCCTCCCCTCTGGCATTTCACAGAGGCAGCTGGGCCTGGTTGTGAAGAGGTGCCCTTGTGCTCTTAGCCCGCTCTGCAGGGCCACAGGACTCAAACACATGGTGGGCATGCAGGGTGCCAGGCAGAGCGCACAAAAGCAGCACATTGTCAGCAAGCCACCCACTGTTGTCACTCTCACTCACAAGCTGATTATGAGCCACTGAATGATAAGGTGACATGTTCTGGTCATATGTTCTGCTGTGTGTTACTGTATATGGGATGTCATTTTGACACAGGCTTATTATTATTTAAAGGTGTATATTTTCTTTATCGTGCCAGCCTTGGCATAATCTAATTCATTGAAAATATCTGCATTGGGTTAACAATTTCAAAATGAAAAGTATTTATACAACGCCATATTTTTGGTTTGTGACCCCTTAAAATAAAGAAAGGTCTTCTTATCACATGATTATGATTGTGGTGTGAACATGAGGTTTAAGCAGTTCAACCAAATGTATTTTTTATTTAAGTTAATACTGATCTTATTAGACAGATCAGATAATCCCTGGCAGTCCTTGTGCCATGTTAGTTTACCTTAAAATGAAAGTGATAGCATGTACAATTATGTAATGATGCCAAATATGAAAGGAAAAGGACAAAACTGATATTAGATCAGGACAAGGTCTTGCTGAAAGTGTGATTTTGGATATCAGATATCTGCATAGGGGAAAGAAAAAGTTGGATTGGTGCATCCCTGAGCAAAAGTATAAATTGTGTTTCTCAAGAAAAAAGCAAGAAAGTAAAAACTGCTCACTGGTTAGCCGCCCGGCCACAACTTTACTGTTCTGGTCCACTCTCACTTTTCTCAAAGCATTATTTTTGGCTGCAGCAGGCAGCTGTTGCTGAAAAGCTCTAAAAGCTCACTATACCTGCTCACAGCTGGTGACTAGGTGGTGAGCAGCTAGTGGAGCATGCTGCAGCTTAAGAGTCAGTTTTGTCCCTCAGGAGGTGCTAGAGCCCATAAACGGAGAGTGAATATTGGACTTCCATCCATCAGGTGGACACAAACACAACTGCAGTATATCTGTTACAATGTGTAGCAGCGTGTCAATAAGCAGCTGTTTGCCAGATCAACTTAAAAGGTGATAATATATCAATGCTGTGTTTACAACTTGTTTCTTCTGCCAAGGAGTGAAAAAAAAAATCTGTTATTGTAGGTTTGATCAGCTTATGATCCCCCAGTATGAGAAAAATGAATTCTCAAAAAAATTTGATTTAACATTGATTAAAACATTTTTTGTGTATTTTTACACTTCCTGCAGCTGCTTTGAAATGTAGGAGATAACGTACTCATTGTCTTCTGCAGATAAATGCAGTAAGGCACATGATGAAAGTTGACTATTCCACTAAGTTCCTGCATTTTGAGACATGCTGTATTTCTGCTTTTTCTTTGTCATAACCTTTGTTGTCTGTATTGTTATTACACTCTACCCTTGGCATGTAAAGAAGAAGATTGACTTTATTAATCCCTAATGGGGAATTTTTTTTTTCTCACACTTTTCACACAAATACAATCATGCCACAGACATGCAAATGTGGAGAGATGGTGGAGTGATGTTCTCCATGTAGGAGCGCTCTGGGAGCAGTTAGGGGTTAGGGACCTTGCTCAAGGGCACCCGGGCAGTGCTAAGGAGGTGGAGCTGGCACCTCTCTAGCAACCAGCCCACAGTCCAGACTGTGGTCCGGACTGTAACCGGCGACCCTCCTGTTTCCGAGTCCCTACAGACTGAGCTACAGCTGCCCCAACAATTCAATGTCTTGAAAATGACAAGCATTGTGGGTAATGTAGGAAATGTGAAGTCAAGTAGGCAGGATGACATACAATGAAATCACAGCACTTCATTACAGAGCAGCTGGACTGTATAAAACCTCCAACAGCGAGAGGCAGCAGGCAGCATGCAGCAGGTATATTCTTGCTGTGAGTGATGCTGTACTTCATCCGCCTTTTACCAGAAATTGTTTTAATAGTCATAATCGTTAAACCAATTTAATGGCCCAGATGTCTTATTGATTAATCATAAACAGCCATAAAACTGAGACATTTGGAAAATTGGCTGAATTCACAGCTAATCTCATTTCTCTGCCAGTAGTTATTGCTGTTTGTTTACCCGCAAGTCAAATGAAGCTTGAACCATCACGCTGGGGCTGTGTGTTTACTCACATAAAGCTGAATCTCTACTCAAGTGGGCATATGAGGGCCAAAGTGCAAACACAAACCTCTACACAGAGTCAAATTAAATCTGCACAGTCTGCAGACATTTTAATGTAGCTTCTAAACATTTAAACATTTATACTCTCTCCTGTGGTATTTTAACTTCACCATTAAGTGTACTTACATAAGCACTTCCAACCTATTGGCTCATCTTCACATCTGCGCTGATGTTTACATCTGTTGCATTGTTGTATCTAAGACGTGACCTCAATCACTGTCATTTCCGTGATGAAATGGCTGCAGGAGGACAGGAAATGAAGCTTTCCTGGAGGTCACTGAGGCCACGCTGGTCCAGAGTGCACTGAAGTCCCGGGCTCATGTCGGTAGAGCATCACAATGCTTCCCAAGACGGCTTCTCTGGACGTTGTTTCTGCAAATCTCTTCCAGCAAGAATATTGACTTGAGTCGACTGCAGCCACTCCCCCTGCTCCTGTGTCAATAGCCCTTTTGGACGATTCACTACCACCACATGCAAATATTATCCTTCAAAACATTTTGCCGCCGGATCTCACAAAAGGTTCCGCTTAACAGAGAATGAACTTTATATCTGTTTTCATATATTACCAAATATATTAGTGGGG